CCTTGATGTCTGGTGGGAAATGATGAAACACAAGGGCAATCAGCAGGATCCCCTGCTATCTCACTTTAGAACCATGGCCCACAAGTACTTGTCCTCTACAGATGAGTTTGCTCATCCTCCAAAGAGGTTTAAGTCAGACCCAGATGTGTGTCCAACCTTGCCTCTGTTGGCCATGTTGCTTAAAGGACTAAAACAAATCCAGAAGAGAATCCTGGGCCTTGAGATGAAGTGCTGTGCATTAGCCAACTTGGCTGACATGCTGACTGTGTTTGCACTGGTAGAGGATGATCCCCAGGAAGTGTCTGCGATGATGTATCTAGACAAACTGGCCACAGTGATCTCTGTGTGGAACTCAGACACCCAGAACCCGTACCACCAACAGGCTCTGGTCGAGAAGGTAAAGGAGGCAGAGCGAGATATCAGCCTGACCTCACTGGCCAAACTACCCAGTGAGACCATTTTCCTTGGGTTTGAGTTCATGCACAGCCTGCTGCGGGAGTGGGGTGAGGAGCTGCAGGTCCTGCTCAACAGTTGCCAGGGCATAAATTATGATAGCTACCGGTTGTGTGACAGTCTCACCTCTTTCAGCCAGAATGTGACGCTGTACCTGAATACCACCAGTTTGTCCAAGGAGGAGAGGCAGGTGGTCTCTGAATTGGCAGAGTGTGTCAAGGACTTCCTGAGAAAAACCAGCAGGGTGCTGAACAACAAGGGCTTTGAGGATATCACTGCCTCCATTGCTATGGCCATTATTGAGCAGAAGATGGACCGGCACATGGAAATGTGCTACATTTTTGCCTCTGAGAAGAAATGGGCTTTCACAGACGAATGGATGTCCTGCCTGGTTAATAACAGGGCTCTCTTCCGAGAGCCAGACTTGGTTCTAAGGCTACTGGAAACAGTGATAGAAGTCAGTGTGACAGACAGAGCCATTCCCCAGTCCCAGATCAAACAAGTAATCAGCTTGATCCTGGAGTGCTATGCAGACCTCTCACTACCAGACAAAAATAAAGTACTCTCAGGTGTCCTGCATTGTTGGGGGCGAAAAGGCCTCTCTGAAAGACTGTTGCCTTACTTGGAGAGTTTTCAGGAAGACCTCAACACAATGTTCAACCAGCTTGCACAGAGTACCTCTGAACAGGGCTTGTCTAAAGCGGTTGCTTCTGTGGCCCAGCTGATATTACTGCACCCAGAAATCACAGTGAAGAAGATGTGCAGCATGGCTGTGGTCAATCTTGGGACTCAGAGGTTCCTAGCCCAGATTCTCACTGCCTTCCCTGCCCTTAGGTTCACGGAAGAGCAAGGGCCAAATCCATCCACCACTTTTGTGGTGGTGTGCCTCAAAGAAACTGTCTGGACAAAGTTCTCCACCCCCAAGGAAGAAAAGCAGTTTTTGGAGCTCCTAAGCGGCCTAATGAACCCTGTGAAGCCCCAAGGGATTCCAGTTGCTGCTCTTCTTGAGCCAGATGAGGTGCTAAAGGAATTTGTCCTGCCTTTCTTGACACTGGATGCTGTAGAGGTAGATGTAAGTCTGAAGATCTTCATCCAGACTCTAGAAGTAAGTGCAGGCCTAGAGGAATACTGGCTCCAGACCTGTTCTCCATTCCCCCTTATCTTCTGCTTATGCCAGCTCCTGGATAGCTTCAGCAAGTACTGGCAGCTCCCTCAGGAAAAGCGGTGCCTTTCTTTGGAGGGGAAGGATCTGGTGATCCACATTCTGGAGCTCCTCTGTGAGATTGTATTAGCAAATGCTGAGACCTTCTCCCCAGACACCTGGATCAAGTCCCTGTCCTGGCTCCACCGGAAGTTGGAGCAGCTAGACTGGACTGTGGGTCCAAGACTGAAGGACTTCTTTGAAGGCCACTTTAAGTGTGAGGTGCCAGCCACACTTTTTGAAATATGCAAGCTTTCTGAAGCAGAGTGGACCTCTCAGTCCTACCCAGGTTATGGGCCTGGCACAGGGCTTCTTGCCTGGATGGAGTGCTGCTGTATCTCCAGTAGAATCTCTGAACAGATGTTCTCCCTCCTGGTGGTGGACGTGGGCAATCCTGAAGAGGTCAGATTGTTCAGCAAGGGCTTTCTGGTGGCCCTGGTGCAAGTCATGCCTTGGTGCAGCCCCCAGGAGTGGCAGTGCCTGTACCAGTTGACCAGGAGACTGTTAGAGAAACAGCTCCTCCATGTCCCCTATAGCCTGGAATATGTTCAGTTTGTTCCTCTGCTCAACCTGAAGCCCTTTGCCCAGGAGCTCCAACTCTCTGTACTCTTCCTGAGAGCTTTCCAGTTCCTCTGTAGCCAGAGCTGTCGTAACTGGCTTCCTATGGAAGGGTGGAGCCATATAGTCAGACTCCTTTGTGGTAGTCTGACCAACCTCCTGGACTCAGTTAGGTTAATACAGCCAGTTGGTCCTTGGGCCCAAGGACAAGACCAGAACCTGACCCAGGAAACCCTGTTTGTTTATACCCAGGTATTCTGTCATGTTCTGCATATTATGGCCATGCTCCCCCAAGAGGTCTGTGAACCACTCTACGTGTTTGCCTTGGAAGTCCTTACCTGCTATGAAACCCTAAGCAAGACCAACTCTTCTGTCAGCTCCTTGCTCCAGAAAGTAAATGAGCAACACTTCTTAAAGTCCATTGCTGAGAACATTAGCCCCGAGGAGCGGCGACAAACCCTGCTGCAGAAGATCAGCAACTTCTGAGCATTGTAGGTCAGAGAAAAGCTGGGCCTTAGGGGCTAAAGCTGAGAAGCACAGGCTTTCCAGTTCAAATTATATACAAGATAAAGGCATATGGTAATAACAGTGTAAACAAAATAGTTTCTTAAGTATTTGTAACATACAAACTATAATAAAATTCTCTTTTGAGTCTTAGCAGTAGCTTGGGATTAAATATACTCCAAAATTGGGCTTAGATCATCTTTAAGAACAAAATGACATTGCTATATGTTTATCAATAAAACTTTGAAAAGAAAAAAAAAAATGAGAAGAGTACATTCCTAACTGAATTTTTTTACCCTAGATTTTAGCAAATAAGCTCTAAAGTGGAACTACTTTAGAAAATATTTTTTTTAAGACAAGATCTCACTATTAGTTTAGGGTGGGCTTCAACTCACTGTGTAGCTCAAGCTGGCCTTGCATTTTGTAAATCCTTTTGCCTCAGCCTTCTGAGTTCTGGGATTATAGTCATGCACCACCATGCCCAGCAAGGGTATGTTCTTTTAAACTGAGATCCTCTTCAAGAGTCATTTCAACATTTAATACTTTTTCATGAGGTGTTTTAGAAAGGCCAGGAACTTAGAGTATTCTAGCTCTGGCTCTACCTCTGACTGGTTATGTGCATTCAGGAGGCCTGCACATTATAGTGAGATGGTTGCACCAAGAAACAAGTGTTCTTGATGTCTTGATGGATGACAAGGATGGGCGTGTGCTGCAGGGAGGACTGCCACCCAGCTCTGACCCTGTCCCCCACATATATGGCCTGTGCTGAATCCAGGACAGGTGAATAGCTGAGCTGTGCTGAAAGGATAGGTCCAATTGCCTTCTGCCTAGGATTGGCTTGTCATGATTGTGATGAGTGGGATCAGGCAAAGGTGTGTTCAGAGCCATTAAAAAAATCAAAATTTAAGGTTTCTAGGGTTTTACTATAAAACCAAGAACTAGTTAGAGGTGGTATTTTGGGAGAGAAGATGCTCTGTCTGGATATCCACACCTTCATTCAAACTGGGACACTACTCAAACTTGAGTTTCCTCCACCTGAGCAGACTTGTTCTGTGTCTAGTAATGAGGCTTCCAATATCCTAGTCCCTCTGAGATTCACCTGAGAAGACAAGGCAAGGCCTGAAGTTACATGTGACATTGGGCTTGGTCCTGGGCACCTATGTATTTGTGGGACCTTGAACCAAAACGTAAGGTATGAGCAAGGTCTTCCTGGAGGCTCAGTCCATTAATACCCTTTGCCAGCTACATCGCCAGGAACCACAGCATGCAGCAGCCAGTCCACGTAGGTCACAGGATGGTTATAACAAGATCAGTGCAGATACATTTAACAAACAAGAATAAGTTGGGAAATTAGTGCAATTTAATCACCACATGGATGATTTACCATAGTGATAGTAAACAAAACAGTAAAACACAAAACCATTGCATTTTGTTTTTAAAATGGCACCTATTAAAGACTGAAACAATCAAAATTTGAGACATTATTATACAGTCCTTTAAAAGTTCATGGACAATGAATTAAAGGCACTTTAAAAAAAATTCTAGTCTGAACTACCACTTGAAAAAAGTCCTGGTAGTTACATTAAGTTATAAGGAATGATTAGTGTTGGCACCAGAGGATCCCGTTTGCAAATTGGGGTGAAGGCGCTGGTCCACAGGATCCTGCTTGCAAATGGGAGTGAAGGTGCTGGTCCACAGGACAAGATGGCTGCCCTCTCGCTCCAACCTTCTGGGGTAAAAAGGCAGTGTACACATAGGATGGGCTCTGGCTCATCAGGAGGCTCTAGGAAAAGGACTCTGGCCTAGATGAGACGTCTCAATTTGTAGGACAGAATTCCCATTTCTACTTTATATAAAAAGGACAGTGTCAAGGTAAAGTCACCCAGTAAATAGCCATTAAAACTATCATTTCACTTTGCCCGTTGTTTTGGGTATGTGTTTTGAGACAGGGTCTTACCACATAGTTCAGGCTGACTTCAAGCTTACAGTGATTCTCCTGCCTCAGCTCCCAAGTACCAGTTTTTTCTTTTTTATAGTACTAGCGATTGAACCCAGGACCCCCTACACTGACCTATATTCTTAGCCTTTTTTTTTTTTTTAAATACAGGGTCTAAGTTGCCCAGATTAGGTGCAAACTTGTCATCCTCCTGCTTCAGCCTCCCAGAATGCGAGGATGACAGTCAGGTGGCACCACACCTGGCTTGACCCTGTATCTCTATGCATGTGGACATAAGGAAAGCTATAGGCATGAAGAGTCATTCTAATATGGGAATGTTTGTGACTGCTTGCAGCAAGCTTACAAGTTTGATTCTGGTCCTTTAGCAAGTCAGTCTGCCAACACAAGTTGACCTCTACTGGCCGCCCTACCTACTCAAGTACTTCATGTTTCCAACCCTTTCTTCTACGTGTTGCCAGTGAACATGAAAATTCAATGTTGACACATGGATGACAGGATGAGGCCAAGAACTGTTCATGGACTATCTAGTAAACAAAAAACTACATACCCACAATGATCTTCCCAGGCCAACAGTGCAAGACATTTTAAGATCCAAGTCGCCGTCATTTGCTTCTGCTGGCCGAGTACTGTGGATACTGCCCTGAGTAGTTGCAGAGTAAATAGGTGAGTGCCCAGACACTCAGCACTGTGGTCCACCAGCCTCATGTCCCATTCTTCAACCTCCCAGAGCTCTTGAGATAAGACCCAAGGCAGGATCCCTGGGCTTATATTAACTGCTGGTGGTAGCAGAGAGCTGATAGCACCCAATAGCTGTTAACCATAAAAAGTGCTTTTGCAAAAGGGCAGGTTAAAAGAGGGAAGTAATAGGAATATTTTAAAAGAAAAACTCAGAGCCATCTGCTTATCAATACCGAAAAGGCTGAGGCCACCTAGGGCACAGTTTGGTCCATGGAATACTGAGTAGAGGCAGCAGCTAGTGTGAGGAGACAACCTCACTACCCAACTTCTGGGGGCTGTTATCCATCCTTTTTGTCTTGGGGAGTGTCAAAGAGCCGGAGTGCCTTTTTGCACAGCAGAAAGAACCAGTAGAGCTGGGGAGCGATGAGGAAGGCATTGGCCACATTGCAGAAGAAAGGGATATTATATGGCACTTGGAGCATGCTGAGTCCGTGCTGTCGGCCATAGGACCAATACATGAAGGGGAAAAGAAGGATCCGACAGCAAAAGAAGCTGGTCAGCGTGATGATTCCGTTCACTTTATACAAAAGGGTGTGCTGCTGCTTTCGCTGTCAAGGGGAAAGAACATGAGGTCAGTGAGAGAATGGGCCAGGAGGAAATGACTAGCCAAGGTTCATAATGGAAAAGACTAATCAAGATCTAGGCTATCACACTCCTTGATAACAACACATGCATCTAGTGTTGTGATACAGAAAAGATTACTGAGCACTGCTGTGTTTACGTTGTGGTAGCCTATAGCCCGTTTTTCCAATAGTGACATTGAGTTTGTCCTAAATCACCCAGTGATGGGAGTATAAGAACAATGGACTAGAGAAAAGCTCTGGCTAGGGGAAGAATATGATGAGCAGTATCAAAATTGGGTCACACCTACAATTTCACTTCAATTGGCTTGGATGACCACCTGACCTTTAAGTCTGTTGAAAGAGCTCCCATTCATTATTCCTAGCATCAAGAGATTTCTCCAAACCCCACAATTTCCAGAGGAATAACAGCATCTGTTGTCTCCTGTACTATTTCTGACATTTTGTTCATACATGCCTGAATGAGAACTCTGCCCAATGACACAAATGGGGTGCTCAATTCTGCTGTGAAAATGCAGCCAACAAAGAAGTCTCCAAGGTCTCCCCGGAACTTCTGTGGAGAAAAAAGGAAGTAAGTGGAGGTTAAGAAACCACTGGATAAGGGCTGTTGAGATAGCTCAGCAGATGACTGGAGTTCAATCCCCGGCACCACAAGCCACCCCAGCCCTCCCCTTGAGCACTGAGTAGGCCACCAAGTCTAGATGTGGCTCAGGCTTGTAATCCCAGCACTGGGGAGGCTAAAAACAGAATTATCATACATCTGAGCTGTGTAGTAAGACCCTGTACCAAATACATTAAAAAAAAAAAAAAAAGAAAGAAAAAGAAAAACCACTGGATAAGTCAAATGTGATGGCACACATCTATAATCCCAACATTCTGGGAAGCTATTTTTCTTGGACTTGGAATCTTTCTGCCACAAAGGAAAAAAAAAGAATTGCAAGTACGAGCCCAACTTGGACAACTTTGTGATTTAGTGAGACTCCCCCCCCCCAAAAAAAAAAAAAATTAAAAGGTTTGAGGCTGTAGGTCAGTGCAAAGATCCTGGGTGCAGTCCAATAAGAGAGGGAAGAGACCACTAATAGAGTCAGGAATGGTGGCAAACACCTCTCATCCCAGCTACTCAGGAAGATAATATGTGAGGATCACAAGTTTGAGCCTGGGCAATTTAGATCGCTCCTGTCTCAAGAAATAAAAGGGCTTGGGGACAAGACTCAATGGTAGGCCACTTCGCTAGCATACTCCAGGCCCTAGGTTTAACCCCACCAACTCCCCAGAAAAGATCTTGGAGAGAAAAGAAAATGCTACACAGGCAAGTGAACATCCAGTTTACATTCTGCTACTTCCATGGCAACAGCTCTCTGATGTCCAATCCCTAGGACCTGTAGGCAAATTCAGATAGGCTGCTTATATCACAGACTAACCTTTCTTTGAATTTCAGTGACAGCTGGAAGGAACTGTTTTGTGTATCTAAATATTAAGGACACTGAATCTGGGCAGCTCAACAGAGTATATGTTAGATGGTAGGATCTCAAAGCCATAAAGATGGATTCCTTTTTTTTTTTTTAATTTTATATATTTGGTACAGGGTCTCAATGTGCAGCTCAGACTCATAGTGATCCTCCCATTTTTAGCCTTCCCAGAGCTGGGATTACTGGCATGCACCACTACATCCCAATGGTTGCAGGCTCAGGGCACCCAGGGGTGGGGCCGGCTTGGCCTGTGGAGTCAGGGATCAAACTGCAGTCCCTATGCTTGCCTAAGCAGGTGAAGTCCACTGAGCTATCTCGCTGGCCAAGGATACATTCCTTAAAGAATTTGAAGTAATCTACTGCTTTTTTCAAGAAAGAAATCTAATATAGTAGGACATGTCACTTTTACCTCTGAGATAACTCTTAGAGCCCTCATTTCTTCATTTATCATATAGAGCCATCATTTCTGCTATTTCACAAGCTATGAGCTATTAGCTCAAGTGCCTCCTGATAGGCACCCAGGGATTACAAGTTTCCTCTCTGCATTCACATTTTTCTTCCTTGTCGGGTGTTTGGCTTTTTTTATTTTTTTCCCCAAAACTTTCAATCTTCCTTCCTTAGCCTCCTAAGTAGTTGAGATTATAGGTATGTGCCACCATGACCAGCTTGGGTGAATTTTTAAAGGGAGAATTGTTCTGGAGAGACTTGTGACATGAGGCTATTGCTCCCTACCCTCTTTGATACAGTTATACTGTTTCATATTGAATTTTTATCATTTTTACATTGTATTAAACTAAAAACAAAATTTTTGACAAAAACACTACAGTAGTAGAATGTTGGAGAATTGCTAAGAAGAATAACAGTGAGCCAGATGTGGTGGCACATGCCTGTGATTCCACCCAAGGCAGGCTTAGGAGAACAGTGAGTTCAAGGCCAGTCTAGGCTGCATACACATAACAAAACCCTGCCTCAAAGTACAAACAAGATTAATGTTGGTAAAGAATGTCATGAACATTACAGATTTAACGATTTTACTCTACTACCGGCATGGGGAGTTGAACTGCTGAAGCAGCTGGTACAAGCGGGAGGGTAGGGTAGAAAAGGAGAGAAAAGCAATTGTGATGCCTTATGGAACGACAGGACAACCAGTTCAACAGAAAATGTGTGCCCAAGGGTGCTCCTACAAAGCCATACCTGTGCAACTGGCACAAGGACAAAGAGAATAACCATATGGTGCATGATCATGAGGCGGTTTTGACTCAGGAAGTTTCGAAAAACAAAGGAGTGTCCAGGAGTATGGTCTTTGATTCGGCACCAATCACAGAAGTACATAGCGTAGCAGTCATAGACCATGTATGGAATCAAAAACCAGACATATTCTCGGGTAAGCCAGTGCCTAAAAGAAAACAGGGATGATTTATGAAATAATTATGTCTGTCAACTATAAAGGGTCAAAACCAATCTCTTCTTAAACAGGTACCCTATACCTTTGCACTTAATCAGCTGGTATTGTTCGAAATACTTTATAATTCATTTCTGGTATTTTGTGATATAAGGTGATTTTGACATAGATAAATTTACAAATTATTCAACAGCCCCACCAAGAAACTGGTTTGGAAGGTGTTCCCAATCACAAATCCAAACTTTCTAGTTTAACTCCATAGTTGCTCAATAGAGGGAGTTTACTAACTTAAACCCCTGAACAACTGAGCTTTCTATTATATCTATACACAACCCCATTCTAGGAGACTCTGGGAATCAACCCTGGCTAATATCACTTCTACTGGCTAAGAAAAGTATGTGTGAACAAGCCTGAAGTTGAAAAACTACACCACAGCAGTTAGCTATAAGGAGAGAAGAGTTTAAGACAAACATCTCACTTGTCCAATGCAATTGAATCAATATTTGATTAGTCAATAGTTTATAGTCTTTTAAAGTAAATTAGAAGGTAACTCTCTACACTTAATACAAAGTTACCAATAATAACTAGCTTCTATAAAAATTTTAGATAGGGCTAGGGAGATGGCTCAGTGGAATAAGCGCTTCCCTGGCAAGTGCAAGGGCCTGAGTTCAATCCCTGGTTCCACAAAAAAAAAAAAAGAATGATTTTACATTAAAAAAACATCTAAGTTGAAATCACATACCATGCTGGGAAGCAACAGCTTCACTTACTCAGCATATTTTTTGTTTTGTTTTGTTTTTTATGAATGTGCATGTGATAGGTAAAGGAAACTAATTTTATGGTTATCAAACTACCTGATCAAAGTCATGTGCATCAGAATTACCCCTTAACAATCATCCATTTGTTAACTGCTCCACTTGCAGAGATTCTAAATTGTATGTCTCAGACCTCCAATCTGCACTTCGACTTTGTCTCAGTTGATTTTCTGAGGAGCCACTCCATCCTACAGCCACACTGGGCATGTACTCTGTAGAGGATGTCATGTAAGTCTTTGTTCATGAATGGCTGACTCCACTTACCACAGCAATAACTAACTAGTGAATAAACAAAAGAGGCAGACAAGTAATAAGGGCAAATATAATACACTTATAGATGAATTAGCCAAATTCCATCTGGACAAAAATATGCAATACTCATTACCCTGTCCATCAGTGGTCTCCCTTGCTTTCTTTTTTTTTTTTATATTTTTATTTATTTGTGTGTGTGTGTGTGTGTGTGTGTGTGTGGCCAGCTCAGCCCACCAGGGGGCGGGGCTGGCTGGCATGTGGTGCTGGGGGATTGAACCGTGGTCTCTGTGCTTTGCTAAGCTTGTTCTAAGTAGGTGCTTTAGACCACTGAGCCATCTCACCAGCCCCTCCCTTGCTTTCTTAAAGCAATTCCAAATTTTAAAACTGGAAAGAAATACTGAAAGCCTTGATGAAAAACTGACCTCACCCCTTGAATGGAACCTAGGGTTTAAAATTTTGCACCTAGGGCTGGGAATGTAGCTCAGTGGCATAGCACCTTCCTTCCTACTCTAAGGTCCTGGGTTCAATTCCCAATACCAAAAAGAAAAATAAACAAAAAATTGTACCTACAACTAATAAGATCTGGAACCACAATCCTAGGTAGAATTCGCTGAATACTTATTTGTAAGGATCTAGATTATAACCTCAACTATCACTAGTCTGCAACTTTCTTTGTAAAATTAAGGTGATAATCTTTGTCTTACTTTACTTCCCTAAGGGAGTCCTTATGAAGATTAAAAAATTGAAAGTGTGAAAATCCTTTTAAATATAAAACTTAAATGGATCAACTGAGAAAACTCCCTAGAACTGTAATTTAGCTCTTTTAGAGGTCTGGAGCCCTGCAAGGACCTGCTGGAAGACTTGGCTCCATACTACGTTCAGCCTGAGATTTAGGATTTATAGATACCCCCCTCATATATAAATAGGGTAAAGGAGAAGTCATGCAGCATAAAACTATTTGGTTGCATGGGTGTGTAGTCTGAGTCATGAAATACCTATAAAATAATGATACAGGAGTTTTGTCATATCTTTATGCACCCACACAAAGGTGGAGGAAAAATGTGTCTTATTTCGCAAACAAAATCCAAGGCATACAAAAGTAAAGCCGTATTAATATGCTAAGCTGTAAAAGGCTCAAATCAACAACTTCTGACATTGCTAGTCCTATGGAAAACCCACTATTATGGACTACTGGACTATATTGAAATATTTTGCTGAATTCACGCACCTACAATATTTAAATGACAATGGAATACCCTTTTCTGACAAAACTAAACAAAAAAAAGGGGATACAAATGAAGGACCATTTTGTATCTGTAGATTCAAAACAGTGTAGATATCTTAATTCAATGAATAGAAAGAGTTGTTCTAATGGTGTTTGTGGACAGGATATCATGCCTGCATCTTGTACTATGAATAACAACTACAAAGACAACAATATGCAATGTATTAATTATTGATACTGTCCTACTAATTGGTTTTGAAACTATCTCATTGCTATTTTTTCTCAATAAAATCATTTTTAAAATATAAAAAAATAAATTATCTTTCCCATCCTAAAAAAACTCCAAGGCATAAAGATACATAAAAGGAGAAATGTCAAAAGTTTATTCAGGGGCTGGGGAAAAGGCTCAGTGGAATAAGTACTTCCCTGGCAAGCGCAAGGGCCTGAGTTCAATCCCCCTTTGTTGCCATGCTCAACTGCTAAAATACATTAGTTCTTTTTTTGTACTGGAAATGGAACTCAGGACCTTGCGCTTGGCAGGCAGCTGCTTGTGCCGCTAAGCTATGTTCCCAGCCTTACCCATTAGTTCTGTGAGGCATCTACAACAGTAGTTATGTTACAGAACCATAAGTTAGTTATGTGTGAATATCTTTTCCTGAAATGCATAGCAGTTGCTTCCTGCTCACCTTGATGCTAACTCAAACTAGTGCAATGGAGCCATACTTGTCTTAGTTTAAGCATCTTTGCAAGGAGGCTGGTTTCAAGTTTGATCGGACAAACTGCAGGCAATGAGGCTACATGATCAGAAAATGACCAATTAAAATACCCAGCCAACCAAATGCTTTTTACCCTTGGTGTATGTAATTAAGGTCATTTGGCCCGTCTTCTCTTAGCATCTACAATTCACTGTCAATGATTTGTTTAAAAAGAGGTATAAGAATAAAAGAATGAAAATCATAACAGCACGATCCAACTCAAATCTGCAAGCCACAGGCAGGCACCCTGCTCAGGCTCTTCTGGCACCCTCTCAACAGGTGAGGCAGGATGTGGCTAAAGGAGAGAGAGGGGGAATCAGGAAATATGGCCAACACAGCTATCCTTTACCTACTCAACTGGGAAGAAGTGAAGGCAGGTGTAAGATGACAGGTGAAAAAAGTGGCTTAAAAAGTAGAAGTGCCACCTTTGTTCATAGGTAAATACCAAGCGTAATAAACCTTTCTGATTTTAATATATGATTTGTTTTACTGAAGCTGCAGACAGATGCTCATTTCCCTCCTGTCTCCAAACTGAGCTCTAATACACATTCAAGTCAATTTTCTGAAGGCACTTGAAAACTCTTCACTTTTAAAAATCCAAAGGGAAAACACAAGGGCAGCATCTGTAGTGGGGTAGGGGTCCCGTCAGTACTGCTTGTATTTGGTATCAGCTAGTGAATGGTCCAGACTGAGAACCAGCTCAGTGGGCTCTCTGAAAGAACCAAAATCCATCCTCTTACTTTTAGGTATTTTTCATACTTATAAAGAACTTGGAACAAGGGACCACACTGCCCTCTCAGATATCACTCTAAGTCAGTCCTACTCTTGCTCTCCAGCATCTCTTCACTTTCCTTTTAGTTTCCTTTTTCCTAAGCTGAGGGTACTAACAGAAGCAAGGAGAAAAGGAAGGCACTAATTATGGTGCTCCAAGGTTTCCCATTTAGTCTATCATCTACCTAACAGTGTGTGCCTGTGAGCCACTGCAAGGTGAAAACTTTCAAGTTCCTTAGCTTTGTCACTTGTACCTCTTTCACCTGGGACTGGGTGTTACCTGTCCGAGACCACGTCGCTGCAGGAACGGATGATGATGATCCCTGCCCCGGTGGCCAGCACTGCCTGCACTGATGAAACCACCCTAACATTGGGCAGAGAAGGAAAATGAAAGAAAGCGTGTTCCATCCAGTACTGTGGACAGCACAGATCAGCAACCTGACTCTCCCCCACAGCGAAGGAAAATGGTAGATGTGGGCTGCAGCTCCGAGAGATGCACACACCGTCCCCTCCCCGGCCGCACGCGTGGGGCAGCGCTCCAGCCTGACCCCTCTCCCTCCACGCACAGGGGCTCCAGGAAGCTCTGGTTCGCGCGACGCAGAGGGCAGGGACGCGGGGAAGGCAGCCCCCTCGCTTCCTGTCGCCCCCCTTTTCCGCCCTCAGTCCCGCGCGGGGGAGGAGGGCAGTGCCCCGCGCTGGGCGGGCGGCCCGGCCACGCCCGGTACCTGGTGCCGACCATCACACAGTCGTTGTAGCTCCATGCGGGCCGCCAGCGGCGCAGCGCCCAGGTGCTGAGCGCGAAGAGCCCCGGGAAGAAAAGCGAGCCCCAGGCCAGCGTCAGCAGCATGGGTGCGCCGGGTCCGGCCGCCTGCTCCGGCGCCGCTCAGCGTGGCTCGGGTCGGCTCCGCCGCGCGGCTCTGGGCGCCGCCGCCCGTCCTATTTCTAGCCTCCGCCCTCCGCCTGCGTCTCCGCCCCCGCCCGGCCCGG